AATTCCAGCATCAATTTAAAGTTGGGTTCTGTAACACTGGTCGAGGCATCAAGAATAACAACTAAATCTATCTGAGTATCTGAACAACCTGGAGAAAATGATCAATAATGATATCATTTGATGAAAACAAAATCAAACAAATCGACAGAGTAAACTCTTCACGTTTCCCATGTTAAATATTTTAGAATTAAATTTAATTTCAGATCATATTTTTATTGAAAAAAAGAGTTGTGAAAATAAAAGAGGTTTATATTCGAAACAAAACTTACTTTTGATTCTTGGGGCGAGTGTTATTGCAATACGGGTTGGGTCAGGAGCTAAAACAAAATGATTAAATGTTAAAATACAAGAATCTCATATGAAAGGACTATACTCTCCATTTTAGGGGTACACCTATGTCAATTCTAAGGTAGAAATCAAACTTTTGGGTCCTTTTTACTTTTTGTATGATTATGGAACTATCAAACGCGGGAAACTGAAATGACTCAACTTGCATACATTATTCAATGTGCTCAAATAATCTCAATACTCGGTTCATATTCAGGCTTAAAGCTGCCATCTCAAAGAAATATAAATTTGCATTTTTTCCTATGTGAATTTTTAAAACTAGATATCAAAAGTAATTCCAATATGGGTCCATCTGTACAAAGGACAAAAACACCTGATGAGATTGAAATAGAGTTCTTTAAATTTTACTTTCAATAATTGGTAGCAAAATAGGTTAACGTATATATTTGGAAGGTACTTACGAAAAGAAAATACAATACGAAGAAGAGTTTACGCATTGGACAAAATATTACAATTTTTATCAGACACATTATCAAAAAAATAATACATGTATTGTAATGACTCAACTTCTCGATATCTTATTATATTATATATTATAGAGTCATTTTACTGCAGATATAGGCATTAGGAGATATCTTTGTCAAGGGGAATTAACCACTCAAAGACAATTCACTAACCACAATGACAATGTTAGAAAAGAACAGTGTTACTTGAAATTATAAATTACACATAACAGCTACGAAGAATAGAAGAAAAAAGTCTGTGTACAACAGATCTGGAAACCAGATAGTAGATTACCAAAAACCATATTAAAGAGAGGAAATAATAAAAGATACCCACCACACTGAAGAATAGTAGATAAACTTAAGAGAAAGATGCCTCTGTATTAGAGAAGTAAAAGTACATGGAAGAAAGGACACGTTATTACGAACACATCAAAACAATCAAAATACTTGCAGTAGCATAAAGAAGAAAAGACTTTATTCTTCATCGCTGATAGTTCATCAAATTCCTGTACAGCAAACCTGTTTTCTTCTACTGGTTTACTAGCTATACCATCAACTTCTCTTAAATCAGTTAAACCAATACCAATAACATAGATATGGATATTTTTACTACGAGCTGCCTCAGCTTCAGGAATTGTTCTTCGAGAATTGATATTAGAGATACCATCAGTTATAAGAATACAAATATTATCTACACCAGGACGATCACCATTACGTTGTGTAAACATTTCTCTATGCATTGTTTTAAGAGCATCAGCTGTATTGGTACTACCAAATCGGTATGGGATATTGTCTATAGCATTATAAATATCTTGTTTAGATCTATACTGGTTCAGATGGAACTGAACGTGATCTTTGGTACTGTAGATAACTACACCAACACGAACATTGCCTCGATCTATGTCCGCTATCGATAAGAAATCTTTTAAGAATTCCAGCATCAATTTAAAGTTGGGTTCTGTAACACTGGTCGAGGCATCAAGAATAACAACTAAATCTATCTGAGTATCTGAACAACCTGGAGAAAATGATCAATAATGATATCATTTGATGAAAACCAAATCAAACAAATCGACAGAGTAAACTCTTCACGTTTCCCATGTTAAATATTTTAGAATTAAATTTAATTTCAGATCATATTTTTATTGAAAAAAAGAGTTGTGAAAATAAAAAAGGTTTATATTCGAAACAAGACTTACTTTTGATTCTAGGGGCGAGTGTTATTGCAATAGGGGTTGGGTCAGGAGCTAAAATAAAATGATTAAATGTTAAAATACAAGAATCTCATAAGAACGACGAATCAACTAGTTGCCTTATGTGTGGTTCAACTATGTCAATTCTGAAGTACAAATCAATGTGTGGTAAATCTATGTCAATTCTGAAGTACAAATCAAACTGTTGGGATCGTATCCAGGACAATGAGCTGAAATTTCCTTTAAAAAATATTACAATTTGCATTTATTTTATCTACATTCAAATGTATACCATAAGAGGTGTACGAATAAAATATAGACCTTGCCACGGAATATACTCCCTAAAATCTAAAAAAAAGTCTCTTCCGTTTTGATCTCAATAATTTGTAGCAAAATAGGCTAATGTTTATATTTGGAAGGTACATACGAAATGATAATACAATACGAAGACGGGTTTATGCATTGGACACAATGTTATTACAATAAATATCAGATCACAATAACAAAAAAGAATACATGTTTTCCCGATATGTTAAACTAGTAGTAAGACTCATTACATGGAATATAACTACACGCATTATGATAAACTGTTTTTACTATAAGAAATATCCCAGTGAGAGGACATAACAAGTAAAAGACTATTCATCGTGACAACTTGACACTATTACAACAATCCAAGAAGATCTCGAAAACAGATAGTAGATTACCAACACCATGTTAAAGAAAGGAAATAATAAAGGCAAACTCAAACGTGTTTGGGAGTTTGAAAAAAGAAAAATGAAATTGAACCAATACAACACTGAAGAATAGTAGATAAACTGAAGAGAAAGATGTCTCTGTATTAGAGAAGTAAAAGTACATGGAAGAAAGGACACGTTATTACGAACACATCAAAACAATCAAAATACTTGCAGTAGCATAAAGAAGAAAAGACTTTATTCTTCATCGCTGATAGTTCATCAAATTCCTGTACAGCAAACCTGTTTTCTTCTACTGGTTTACTAGCTATACCATCAACTTCTCTTAAATCAGTTAAACCAATACCAATAACATAGATATGGATATTTTTACTACGAGCTGCCTCAGCTTCAGGTATTGTTCTTCGAGAATTGATATTAGAGATACCATCAGTTATAAGAACACAAATATTATCTACACCAGGACGATCACCATTACGTTGTGTAAACATTTCTGTATGCATTGTTTTAAGAGCATCAGCTGTATTGGTACTACCAAATCGGTATGGGATATTGTCTATAGCATTATAAATATCTTGTTTAGATCTATACTGGTTCAGATGGAACTGAATGTGATCTTTGGTACTGTAGATAACTACACCAACACGAACATTGCCTCGATCTATGTCCGCTATCGATAAGAAATCTTTTAAGAATTCCAGCATCAATTTAAAGTTGGGTTCTGTAACACTGGTCGAGGCATCAAGAATAACAACTAAATCTATCTGAGTATCTGAACAACCTGGAGAAAATGATCAATAATGATATCATTTGATGAAAACCAAATCAAACAAATCGACAGAGTAAACTCTTCACGTTTCCCATGTTAAATATTTTAGAATTAAATTTAATTTCAGATCATATTTTTATTGAAAAAAAGAGTTGTGAAAATAAAAAAGGTTTATATTCGAAACAAGACTTACTTTTGATTCTAGGGGCGAGTGTTATTGCAATAGGGGTTGGGTCAGGAGCTAAAATAAAATGATTAAATGTTAAAATACAAGAATCTCATATGAACGACGAATCAACTAGTTGCCTTATGTGTGGTTCAACTATGTCAATTCTGAAGTACAAATCAAACTGTTGGGATCGTATCCAGGACGATGAGCTGAAATTTCCTTTAAAAAATATTACAATTTGCATTTGTTTTATCTACATTCAAATGTATACCATAAGAGGTGTACGAATAAAATATAGACCTTGCCACGGAATATACTCCATAAAATTTAAAAAAGTCTCTTCCGTTTTAATTTTAATAATTCGTAGCAAAATAGGCTAATGTTTATATTTGGAAGGTACATACGAAATGATAATACAATACGAAGACGGGTTTATGCATTGGACACAATGTTATTACAATAAATATCAGATCACAATAACAAAAAAGAATACATGTTTTCCCGATATGTTAAACTAGTAGTAAGACTCATTACATGGAATATAACTACACGCATTATGATAAACTGTTTTTACTATAAGAAATATCCCAGTGAGAGGACATAACAAGTAAAAGACTATTCATCGTGACAACTTGACACTATTACAACAATCCAAGAAGATCTCGAAAACAGATAGTAGATTACCAACACCATGTTAAAGAAAGGAAATAATAAAGGCAAACTCAAACGTGTTTGGGAGTTTGAAAAAAGAAAAATGAAATTGAACCAATACAACACTGAAGAATAGTAGATAAACTGAAGAGAAAGATGTCTCTGTATTAGAGAAGTAAAAGTACATGGAAGAAAGGACACGTTATTACGAACACATCAAAACAATCAAAATACTTGCAGTAGCATAAAGAAGAAAAGACTTTATTCTTCATCGCTGATAGTTCATCAAATTCCTGTACAGCAAACCTGTTTTCTTCTACTGGTTTACTAGCTATACCATCAACTTCTCTTAAATCAGTTAAACCAATACCAATAACATAGATATGGATATTTTTACTACGAGCTGCCTCAGCTTCAGGAATTGTTCTTCGAGAATTGATATTAGAGATACCATCAGTTATAAGAATACAAATATTATCTACAC